GCACTGTGACGATCGGAAAAAGAAACCCACCCCACCACAAATACCACTTTTGTGGGACTCTCATGCGTTGACACTCATCCATACCTGGGTCTTCATCTTTCCAATGCCTTGAAATCGAATCTACGTACATACCCTAGAAGTTGGCAATAATGTTATCAGGAGAAACCTTTGGGGGTGTAACAAGAAGATTGAAAGCACAGCCTACAAGACAATGGTGAGGCCTATACTTGAATGTGCTTCAGTAACATGGGACCCTGCATTAAAACAGAACAAATTCACTTCAACATATCCAACAGCACTCTGCTAGATTCTGCACTGGAAGCCACAAAAGGGAGGAAGGACTGGTAACTAGAGCACTGGCCAACCTTGGATGGGACACAACCTTGGATGGGACACAGAGCAGAAGAAAAAAACCAAGATTATGTATGATGAACAAGATGGTGAATGACCTGCTGGCAGTCCCACTTCAAGATTATGTTCAACCAAATAAAAGATTTAAAAGGGGAAATGATATGAAGTGTAGACAAATTTGACATAAAGCCAAAGCCTTCCAGGACTCCTTTTTTGTAACAACTAGAGAAGACTGGAACAGGTTAACAACTGAGATGGTAAACTCCCCTTCCTTGGAATCATTTAACCAGAAGATAAATCTTATTCAGTAAGTGTCCTCAAGCCACTCCACATGTACAGTACATGTATGTGCATGTAGATTGTTCTAAAAGTTAGCAGGATGTATCAGAAGATGACATGTTGCTGACTGAATGATACAGATCAGATGAGGAGTGACTAGTTTTGGACCCTGATTTTGTATAACACATCTTCACCTGCCTAAACTGGGAGGAATTTACATTTTCTGACAACATCCTTAAATTGACCCTCTCAATAAAACACAGAAGTGGCCTCCACAAAATATGCCACTGTATGAAATGCTGCCTAAGCTGTGAGGAAGTCGACGGCTAATTCCAGGGAAGAGATCCATACCCAGATATTACTTTACACCCTCTTTGTGCAAACCCTATGAGACTGGTCTCTGAAATTCTGAGTGTTTTCAAAGTACATGTAAATAATCCTTGCTAAACTTGAGTTTTGTAGGACATGTTATCACTTTGTAATGGCTACACCACTACAAGGGAAACTTAGCGATATATGGAACAATTAAATTCGAGTCATGCAAACATGCATACATATAATATTACCATAGTATTGTTACACCCCAACTATAACATCAGTCCCAACTATAGTTGGGACCATCCCATAGTTGGGATTGATGTTATAGTTGGGATCAATATTGCAAACACAAACAAAACAAACATATTTGTAGGAAGATATAGTAAGGCAAATGGGTTAGAAAGGACAAGTTTTCTATGTAGGGAAACTTGGTGTTCTAAAAATTGGAAAAATTTTGATTGCCCAATGTAGAATTCTTTCCATTTAACATTACCAACAGCCAGACAGACCATAGGCCTACTAGTACCAGCACAGTGGCCAGACCTTGGACCAACTACATGTACATGTACATGTATGTACTGTACACAATGAGCATGCAGCCACATACACGTACATGAACACGTACATCTACATGTACATGTGGTAACACACACCTTCCTCTATATACCCATGTATCCTCAAATCAAGCATGCCAAACATGCTAAGTGCTAATCATGCAGCTTATGAAATTCCGTGATGTCACTAACGTGACATGCCATGCATGATGACTGAAAAACAATGTCACTACTACTACTGTACTAGTCATTAATGACAGTGGCATGTCACTTTGGCATGCTTGGAACATCAATTCCAGTGAATTAAACCACAAAATTACCTTACTTCCAAACGACAGTTTTCAAACGTAAATCCAAAAGGAGCTCGTAGCAGTCGCCATTCCCTACTACCATGAATCGAAATGCCAAACACACGGCAGACAAATGGATACATCAACCAAATCAGACTTCCTACGCACATGCATGTGGCATCGGAAAATCACATTTTGGCCGATTGGTGGCGCTATGCAAGAACATCAGCAATCCGAGAGCGGACACAGTGCAGCGCGTTGGCGCATGGCGAAGCTAATTAATAAACGTACTGCCCCACTTAACCCCCCCCCAAAAAAAAAACAAGAAAGAAAAGAAAAGAAAGAAAAAAGACAGACAGAAAGAAAGAAAGAAGGAATTTTTTTAATTAAATAAAATAATAAATTGAAATAAAACCTGACGACACCCGAGACCAATGTCACAATGAAAATGATTCACTTATTTTTTTTCCAAATTCCGGGGGTTGGTTCAAAGATTATTATATGGCCAAAAAAATATATATCGCCTTTAGTAGCCCTTTGGGAGCTTATCCCAAAAGAGACCCTGCAAGGTACTATCTCGTTCACATTACTCTCTTTTAGGAATACAACTTTTGGCTCTGTGCGTCAAGCTAAGATGCACTACACCAAATGCGTGCCCATAGAAAACATTGCAAAATCAGACCGAAATAGCGCCAACTCTCGGGAAGAGTATGGGCTCGGTTTTTTTCACTGGAAACTCAAGATTATGGCCGGAAGATCACTTTTCGTTTAAATTTTTATGGGGTTAAACCACGTGAATTTTTTTATTCGCCTTTCTGAAGATACCCCAAAAAAGTAGTAAAATTGTGCGTTCAGCTGAATGTAGCTGCCTGCCTCTATCAAAAACAGGTCCGCAATTTGGAGCTTTTTGTGAAAGAAATACCCCGAACTGGGAACTACCAGTCCCAAATTCAGGATTTATAGAAATATTCTTATGATCCCTCCGCAGAGAAACCCCGTGGGATCACAAAATATTAATGAGCTCGCGCTCAGAAATCCAACCAATTGGTGGAACGCACCCATAAAAAATGCGCGTGTGGGTGCAGTGCCGTGTCGTAATTATCATGGCATTTGGCAACAGAAATTCGAGGCCGAAACCGTGGTGGCACAACACTCTTGGACAGGTGGTACCCGCGCTTTACGCGCTCCTCTTGGACCAATAGGATGTCATGATTTGCCAAATGCACGTGCGCGTCAAGCTGAAGAATAATTGTAAAGTGCAGTGCCTTATTCTCGAATTACTGTATGGTGTAACCTTCAGGAAGTGTAGCCGCTTGAAGTTTTTAATAAGCAAAGGCGCTGATAATTTCATTGTTATAGGGACTATAAGACTAAAATAACCACTTCTGAAAAATCCAAGCCTGCCGGCATGCCCCTTCGGACTCAGGATCTGAAAACACCGACGCCAAGGTGCTAGTCACAGCGAAGTAGACAATAAGGTTTTGGGGGTATGCAAAAGCTTACGTCCAGTTGCATCACCTCACTCCGGAAACCTGTTCGTACCGTTGATTTTTAGAGCTTGAAACAATTAGTTTCCATCACAGAAGTAATTCGAAACATTTGAAATTGGCCTAAACAGAAATCTGTCAATAATAATTTTTCAATTTATCACTTAAACCTCAAGTTCACTTAAGCTTACACCTATCCGAGTAAATACATACTTTGGTAAGGTTTACAAAATATTAAGATTTACTGTTCAAGATGTACAGAGTGTCAAGAAACTGCCTTGTGAAAATGTTACACGTCGTAGGAATAACTGCCACAAGAAAAAAGGGGTCACTTTAATATCAGACGTTTTCTGAATGGCGTGTAACGAAAGTGCGCCCTCATTCTTACAGTCTTGTCACCAATTGTCTGGCAAATTCCACTGGACAAAAATGGCAGCCCCCGGCCCACGTCACTTGCCTCTTTTCAACCCGCGTTTTCAAATCTTTTAACATTCGATTCCCGACAAAACAATGGCGTTCTACATTAAGCCTCCGGGTGGGATTGAAAAGCTGCAAAGCCTGACCGTTTTTGGAAGGAAACGATTGACATTTCTGAAACAGATACTTGGCTGTGAGTGCAGCGCTGCTTTCCGCAGGTTGTTGGACTGTGCGGATACGGCAGATGATTCGGAGTGTCTTATCGAGGGCACCTCGAAGGACCGCGTGTCACACTTTCTTCTCAGGTATTGCTGGCTCCATTAATATTTACTTATTTTGGTGTATGTCTTCCTTAATTGGGTCATTGGGTCTACCATCAGCTGGATCCTTACTCCCTGTCAGAGGGGTCTTTCCAAACTACCGAAGATGCCCCTTCATTAAAAAATTCTGTTTAATCATTGCTGCTTTGTTGATAAAAAATTCCACTGAGACGGTTGACCAGGACCGACTGGTCCAGTAATAGCAGTCCAGAAATACCTGAACAAATTGTAACATTACCTGTTCAATGTCATTTTTTGAGGAAACAGTTTTTTTAGTTGCATTACCTATTTCAGAAGTCAAAATCCCGGGTGTATTAAAATCCATAACTGAATTTCTTGCAAGTGCTTTGTATTACATTATCAGAATCAATGAAGTCGTAATATCCCGGCTACCGAAGGACTTAATGCCAAGTTTATGAAAAGTAACTTTGTTCCCTACCCTTTAGAACTTCACCTTTAGCCCGGCAGCTTTTGGGACTCTAGACACTACGCTCGTAAAGAAATTGTATAGTATTAATTTCTTTCTTGCATGACAAGAATAAAACGAGTTTCCTCCAACTCAATATTGCTTGTATATTTTGACCAGTTCATTACAAACTTCAAAGCAAAGATACTATGATGTGCTTCGTTGTTTCTTCTAGACTTGCCTGCTGTCAAGATTCTGAGATGACATCATTTTTTGTGAGAGCTGAGACTGACTTGTTCTGTTACCGTTTTGCAAGCATGAACTCAACAGAACTTGTTCGCCTCTTTAAGTCCACTTACCAATTTTTATTCCGCCTCAGTCAGTGCCAAGCCAGAAACGGCAAGCTGTCTGAAGGCCAAGGTGGAGAATCAAAGTGTAGAAGGACTTGTAGAAACTTGCTTCAAATCCTACAGGGAATGATTTCTGATGGCCTGGCCTGGACAGACGTTGCCAATAGGTACCTGGATGGCAGTGGGTCAGAGGTTATACGGGTCCCTTTCCAATATGCGTTGTCACTTGTTGCCAGTCGATCTGTTGTGATGGAGCGGGGAGTGGCTTTGGTGCCACCTGCGGACATCTTAAAGGTGTTGGCCTCATTTTTTGAGGAGCTGGTCTCCCTAGGGATGGTAGATGCTCGGCTTGTCGTTAACGATATTGGGTCCGGTGATGAACGCATGGCCGACCTGCTTCGTGAGTTGAGGCAGTTGTACTACTCTGGCAGCAGATTAACAGAGATTGATTGGACATTTGAAGGTGGGTCCGTGGCCCTCGATGATATTGATGAGTTAACAGTATGCTTCCCACCATGTATGCAACACTTGCATCTTATGCTTAGGAAAAAGCATCGGCTAAGACATTTCTCAAGGGTAAGTTCTGTGTAGTTTCCTTTTTCGGGGAAAGGGTATCTTAATAATTCGCTTACCTTATTACAAACAAGGTAAATTTTGAAAACAGTATATTTATAAGGTTGATTGCATCTCAGCTGCTAGAGGTTTTGATTGTGTCCTTTTCAGTTTTTTCTGTGTATTTACTGATTATGTGGGATTTCTACTAAACCATGTTGTGTCTTGTATGCATGTATTTGTATAGCATGCATAATGTCTATCACTGTGTCACTGTGTCCAACTTCTGAAGACGCCTTGCGCTGTATATGTACATGCTCCAGGAGGAGGATGATTTTTGAGGATGGGTCCCAATATCTGATATCTGTTCTTACTTGTGTATTTTGACAGCTCCAGTATACACTGTTCCTCAAGGAGGTAGGTTTGCCCGTCTCCGAAGCTGTCAGGTTCTGGCAAAAAGAATATTCTCAACCAAGCTGTAACTATGGTGACAGTCGAGGATGTACCCACGATTGGAAACGAGATGGGAAGAGATACGTGTACAGCATCAGGCACCTGTATGGATTAGAGGGGTCAAGGATCAACTACAAGGCACACAGCTGTCGTGCAATACAGGTGAGGAATGGGGAATTATTCTGAACCAAAAGGCTGAAATTTTGTGAAAGGAATGGTATATGAAAAGCTTCCAATGTATTTAATCTTTCTCAGTGCTTATTTCTGTTGCCTTAACAAATGTAAGCATCCCGTTCATCTATTGTAAGTGCCTCCTTAAAGAAATAATTAAACAATTTGTTCTAACAAGAATTGCTATGCCACTTTTAGTAAAAGCATTATTTGCCCGATGAATTCATTTGCATTTGTATGATAGGGGTAATACAGCATTGTCTCTTTTTGGATCTGAAAAAGGAGCGTAGCCTAGGACACGGCGAAGAAGGAGGCTGTCCATTCAGTCACTTTGACGACGTGCATCTTGGGAACATTATGTCCCAAGCAGGTATCAGATCTGAGGATGACAAGATACGGATAATTGGTCTTGCTCAGCAAGGAAGAAGGCAGGCAGCTTGCAAAGCATTTTTCCGGAAGTCTGTTGCTGCTGGCTTAGCTCATCATGTGGAGTCGACCGCACAAGATCGGGATGGCACTAATGATTCGAGAGGGAAAGTAGCTGCTGAAAAAGATGTTGAAGACGTTGGCTTTGAACCATGCAACAGGAAGAAAGCCAGACTTGACAGCGATGGTTATGTAGCCTTTGCTAGTGATGAGGTTGGAGCTAGTAATGCTAACACCGAGAGCAGTACAGCAGGAACATTTGAAACGGTTGATGGGCAAAGATCTCAATCACTGGACACAGTACAACGACATGCAGAGGACAAATCCTTCCCTTCGAGCACCACAAAAATGATCTTGTCAAAGGAGCAGCTGCTGATGCATCATGGTAGTGGCTTTAAGACAGTTATCCAAAGCCCTGGAAACTTTCATAGTGACGCACAAAGTGGATGTTCTCAAACAGGAGAGAGCCCTAATCCTGATACTGCAAAGGAGCATCATTGCATCTCCCCATGGCTCCAGGAAATGGAAGATAATTCTAGGACTGCTGGAAGAAGCACGAGAGATACCAAATCGGAACTAAGGAAAAGATTTAGAGGAGGTCCATTATCTTCTGTCAGGAGGGAATCAGAGACCTCAAGCGAGCACCAAACTGCTAGCTCAAAGGCCGCCTTGAGAAGCCACAGGGACTCACCTGATGACGACGTCCCTGTCAGCTCCCCCATAGCCGTTCTGAGAGACGTTGAGATTCATAAGCCAATTGATTACTACAGCAGCTATATGCAGCTTCTCAGTAGCCTTCAGCAGCTGGATTGAGATGCACTTCAATTTCTAGCACTTTTTTTACTTAACCATTGCACATTGTGTCTTGTTCAGAATCTCTTATTAGTCTCACTATTGACAATTTGCAAATTGAATGTACTTTCATCCCTCAAACGAATTACACAAAATGATTAATATCCATGTTAAAGTTTAATGATTTTTTTATATTGTACAGTTTTACTCTTGAAATGTTGTGCAGCTGACGTCAGACAGTACTAACAATGAATTTTATTCTTTTTATGTTAGGCCTATGTCGAAATTGATTTCAATGAACTTCAATTTCAGTGTTTGAAATGCTAAAGATTTTTGTGTGGATTACTTATTGTAACTGTGCAATAATTATGAAATGAAATAATGTTTCTATTTCATATTTAGGATGGTGTAGCATTCAAACAAGAATACAAAGACTCTCCCCTTTCCAGATGAATTCTAACCAAGAAAAATCGAAATGTCCACAAAATCGTGCCTTATTGAAAGTGTTCGTGAAAATGCACTGAAGTCTTATGTGTTTGGTTGTACATGTAACTTTATTTGGGACATGAAATCATAGTTTGCTCCCATTAAAATTAACAGACCAAAATGTGATGCAAATGGAAAGTGACTAGGTCTATGCAGTGGGTGCTTAATGACTCGACTTTTCATGCATCCCTCTACGTGATAAGTCAGCCTTCACATTGTGAAGAATTATATTTTACCGGGCTGGAAAGTAAAATGTCTCTTGCTATTAGGCCTACTTGCCATCAATCTCGCAAAACCTTGAAAAAAATGCTCTACTGTGTTTCGTGGTAATCGCTCCCTATGATTCATGTGTATATGTGAAATACCAGTTATAACACGTACGTTCTTGTTTGAAGAAGTGCAAGTGCGTTCGAGTTCTAAGCCTTATCTCTGAGTAAGAAAGAGGTTTACAGTCCTGTGATGTAGCCACGCCACTTGGACAAGGGCGACACTCAGCATCTGTGGTGAAGGGTAAATTGTTTTCATCGATCATTCTTACTCTTCATAAAATGGAAGAGCAAATGTGTTTTTTTTTATGACGGATATTCCACTTTTTATGACGACGCTCAGTACTGGATTCGATGATGCATTATGACTAAACTACACAACTAAATTAAATGTTGGCAGCTTAGATAAGTTGGCCGAGATTGGGCTGCCGAGGTTGGGCTACCGGTATTAAAACAACACCTTCACGAAATAAATCGGCGGGGCCCTTTGGGACGTACTGAAATTATCCGACCGTGCGTACTTCTTCCCCGGGGTCACTCAAAACAAATACACTGTGACTTGTAACACAGGTTGTGTTTATTTCCAAAGTTCAATTGGGTGAACCGTGGGGAGGGGGGAATGACGATCCCCGCGTCGTTGCGCCACTGTACCTGTTCGAACTTCCGTCAATCGGAAGTAGCCTAACCATTTGCGCGCGGTTGCCGTTGGCCTGCTAGGTGATCAAAAAATGAGCCATCCCAGCGACTTGGTCTGCGCTGTTGACAGAAGATTTTCCTTGTATTGATCTTTAGTCCCCTGTTCATAACGGACCGGTACGCTACATGGGTAGTGCTTATTCCTCCGTGTTCCTCCCCGTCCAGAGTAAAGAACAAACACTCTCAAACAGTAAAGGACAGAGACTGTATGGAGGTGTTATGCAACACAATCGACTGATGAACATCGCATGTTAATAAGGTTGCCAGTATATACCGTGTATTATCACAGAACACAGATTAGGCCTGTGTGGTATGAAACTAATCATTGCACATTGGTGGATACATTCATAAATTATTACGCAGAAAAGATTTATAATACATGTACATAACAGGAAGCTCTCTGTGTCCTTGCCCTACCGAAGCCGAATGTGGAAAAAACCGGTCCGGCCTGGAAGACGAGAGTCAAATTACTGCAGTGACCTCTGCAACACTGTCTGTGTCGCGCTGCCGTGCCTGGAGTGCAGGAATAAAAAAGGAAATTTTGATTCCCCCCATGCATGCTGATACTGAAGTTGTGAACAGGTGCACATTATTTTAATAGGCCCTATGCAGTATCGGAAAGCAGTCTTATAGGCCCAGCGGTTATGGTCGATCTTCTTTCCTCCATGTTCCTCTTAAGTACGGAAATACAGTGTTAGAACATTGATGAACCTTGAACTCGAAATTCACGGTGAGTTGACGAGACTGGCAAGCTGCCTACGGTGCAGTTTCACGCACCGTTCATGTACATGTACTCTGTGCTCAGTCGTTCGGCTGGCGGGTGTATGAGGTTGCAGCACTTGCCATCGACGGCAGCCACGTCATGACTGTGTGCATCATGTGAGACGTTTGCTCCATGTTCTTACGCACCCACAGTAGGGCCTACAGTGTCATAAGCCATGCAACACTTCTTAATTTGGAACGTTTAACGGTGGTAATTGACGTTTGGAGATCGCAAGTACCACTATACGGTATGTATCACAAACTCCACCCGATCTAACTTGAACTTGACTTGAGCACACTAAGTGAGAGTACTGCAAGGGGACTCAAAAATATTTAGTTTGTCCAGAACCATTCGTTATAGGAGTGGTCCCCCACCAGATAACAGTCCTTCCCTTTTTTTACTTGCCCTGACTTTCATAGTAATGTTTCCCCTGTCTGATAATCCCTAGAATTAACACTGTAGCTTTTAGATACTAGTTGTGTTAGAGCATGGAGGTCCATGGTTAGAGCATGGGGCAGACACAGACCAGCAGCCAGAGGGAGAACGCCTAGCTCACTGTGTCTCCTGTCCTATATTTATAACAAGTTTTCATGTACATGTAGCTGCCTGAAGATTTGGTCTGCCGAGGGCTTGGTAAGTTTGCATTGATTTTAATATTCTTATAATTTCCTTGTATTGCAGTCTGTATTTTTTTGGCCACGCATGTCACTTATGATCTTGAGGAATAGTTTTGAAAACTTTCTTTGAATAGACTTTCATTATACGGCTTAAGTACTATGTCTTGTTTTAAAATGCTTGGGCTTGATCACCACATCTTTAATGTCCAATATGAACGTTTAGCCCATGGCTTTCCGTTGCTTTTCTTGGCACAGTTTTTTGGAATTGTACAGCGGTAATTTGTACATCAGTGAACCGTATGAAATTCTAAAGCAGAAGTTCCTTGGAAGAGTAATCATTAACCACAGTATTAAAGTGCGTTTTTCATGCTAATGATTTTTTCTACCTAAGTCAAGCTTATTGCAACTTTAGTCGAGACCGACATGTACAGATGTAGTTGTATCATTTTGGCAACTCACAGTAGTCTTCTTCATTCCCTACAATGTATACCGGTATGTCCAGTGAACAGTGTATGTGGCCATTTTCGTAGCCATGTGGCATGGCCTGCCTGTTCCTTTCTGGGGTTACGAGTCATTAACCAGAACTGAAGTAAACTTGTCCCAGCTCACTTTGCTCAGCTTTTTGTTCAGTACATGAATGTGTATTAGTCTATACATGTATTACCTCGCTCGCTGTGTATATTCCGACAGTTTGACTTGGACGAGTTTAGCCCTTATGTTTACATGAGGCTGGATTGTTTATCTCAGCCCAGTGGATTGTACCATAGCCATGCATCATGTGTTGTGCTAGTCTCCAATGCATGTGGCAGTAATGTAGTGACCTATAAAGTTTTCTAAATGGGTAGCACATGCAAAGCACTTGGCTTTACTGTTTTGTTCAGGATGAGTTATAAGTTTCAAAACTTCAGTGATCAATTATTCCTTCTTTTTCAGGATTTTGCTGATATAGTAACCTTACTTTATTTTTTCCTTTGTGTGTTGTATTTTGCAGGTTTCTTAAGCTTGAGTACGATAATTTTTGCTTCTATTTACTGGGTGCTGTGTTGGTTAATCACTAGTTCATTACAGGTCGTGTTTAAAGGCATTGGGTCACACAATCTCGTTTGAAAGTCTTTGTTAAAGGTCTAGTTGGTCTGGTCTATCCATTTTGTGTGTAATTTATTTTTTTGGTTCACCGTTTAAGGAATTTCTTCTGTTAGTTTTTTTTTTTGGTTGTGCAAACTGTCCAATTTTACTACTTCCCTTTTTGTGCAACTGTCAGTTCAGTTTCTCTTGGCATCCAGAATAAAATACTGTTTTTTAAACTTAATTTGAATCTGTTCTTGTTTCCCTTTGTCTTTTCTAGTGAATATCCTGCGACTCAACTTCTTGCCGATCCTTATTATTTTTAGTATTATTATCACTATTGTTATTTATTTATTTCTTTCTTTCTTTCTTTATTTATTTATTTATTTATTGTTTTGTGTCAAGGTTTGCGAGTTTTGCTCATTCGGTCGCACTGTGCTATTTTTCTAGGTTACACATGGTCTTCTTGTGCGCGTTAGGGACAGGTCTTCGGTGCCCTAGAAAGCGGATGCACACATCCTGAAGTTAAGGTCAACTCCATCTTTGTCTTCCAAACATGACGTCGTTGTCGGAGTTTGTTCCTCGAGTTCAGTGGAAGACTTGCTGCCTTTATTCGCCCCGTCTGCCGTGCTTACTATTACTGTTTGGCCTCGCACTAATTGGCGGACTAGTTATGCACATGAATGGTGAGTCAAACGGTTCTTTCCCTTTCAGTTTTGCGTTTAGCCAGTTTATGGACAGGGATTTATGTAGTATGCAAACATTAGTTACATTTTTTTCTCATCGACAACATGGATTTTATTTTCTCCAAATATCTTTGCTTTGACATTCTGATCCGAACCGGGTCAGATTACCTTCCACTCTCGTGATGTTTTTTCTCTGTAACAATCCGCTAAATTTTTCCTCAAACTGAGTGAGGTCGCAATTCTTTCCTGGACAAAACGAAAACTCAAACATTCATTAAAAAAACAACAACAAAAAATATTCTCTGGAGCCCCCAACGAAATATTTTCTGTTTTCCCAACCCAAATCAGTCGATTTCGTATCGTGCATTAGCATGTCATATTCTGCAATTACCAGCCTACTGCTTTGCATTAATATCGAGCCGACACACGCACAAAAACGCTGTTTCCAGGTTTCTACCCAGCCTAGAAAATTATGTGGGAATCGTACCAACCCAATAGCCTAATTATTTTTGTCACCTTCTTTAACCGCACTCGCAGTTTATTTGATGATGAAATGAAGTACATGTAATCTTACGCCAAAATTTATACTATATATATGGATGTTTAAAACGTCGCACAGAAAGCAAATTTATGTAAACAAGTGGGAATTGATAATATGTATACAGAAAGGAGGTAAAGGGCTTCAGGACTTAAGCGTTCTTAAATGTCACAAGAGAAGAAATATAGGGCTTCTCAGACATCAGAGAGTTCAAGCAGGAATTCGAGAACATTTTGTGACTTTGCCTGTGAGATGTCTTCCATGGTTTCCAATCCAGTAGGGGTAACGCAAGGAATACGAACGAATAGTTTATGCGGTCAACAGCAAATTTCGTACAACTTGACGTCACAATTTCCCCTTCTCATTGGCGCATGGCTTTTGCGCCAAATATGAACTGGCCTTAAAATCTGCAATGGCTTGACAAAGTGAGTGGCATTGATTTGCACACTAACCGTCCCACATGTTTATTTACCATCTCCCCACCCTTATGTTTTGGCTAGAAAGTTTTGAGCCAATACCAAACCCCAACTCAAACTAAACACCACCACCAACAACTCAAAGGCGAAACATTTGTGATAAAAACATGGCCTTGGGACAATAATCACAGTGTGGTGATTTGTCTTCTCACTAAGTGTCACTGATCAAATCATCGATTATCTTGATCAATTTTGGATTAACGAATAAAGTGTAGTGGAATATTTTCAGAAAGTAGGAAGAAAAAGATAAAAAAAATATCGAATTGATATCGAAATTTACCCACAATGCTCTGCGCATCGTTAGCTGTGACCCCGTGTGACGTATTTCTTTCACTAAAATCTGTGCAAGGCCATCGGCCTTTCCCGGCGCCCAGCTGTTCGAGCGCCGGGCGACGAGCGAATCAAAGGAGCCACACTTGCTGGGAAAATGCACTCTCTCTTGGTCCTGCTCGGAGCCCTTGCATGCTGGCGCCACAGGCATGCAGAGCCTTGAACTGACAGTTTTACTTAATTGTACCATCGCCTCAGATTCGTGTCAAGGCAGCTTTTTGAAATGTTGTCACATGGTATGAGAGTTAAGCACGTGCAAAATTACCAAGCAACATCCACGCGAATCACTGAACCAGCTTTATTTATTGTGTAAAGCTGCCAGATCGAGGCCCTGTATGCCTATTGCGGGAGCATGCAAAGAGTGATGTCTGTGAGTGCAGTGGTCTCAAGCAAAGTCCCCTATACTGACTTCTTGAAAGCACGGAGGAAGGAATTGAAAGGTAGCTCCGACTAGAATGCTAGGTTTCAACAGAATGCTTGCTGTTCAGTGAGAGACTTTGGGCGTTTTCGAAACGAGTGGATGCGGCTAAGACTCCAGTTTGAATATGTGGTTTTGAACACTGCTTCAATATGGCTGAAACCTGCGAAACCAAAGTCTAAGCCGAATCCACTCGTTTCAAAAACGCTCTTTGAGACGCATGGTGGGGGCAAACAGACCGGTCCTTTTTCGCAGTTGTGCGCGTGCTCAGAACTAACGTGCATGCCTAGAACTGAACGCGCATGCCCACATCAACCAAAAGGACCGTTGTGTCTGCCGCCACCAAGCGTCTCAAAGTTTCCCAAACAACGTTGGGGGGGGGGAACGATCTATAATTCGTACACTAAATCAATGAACTTTATCCTTGAGTCGGCCATGTTGAAATGGGAAGAAAAGTCAACTTTCCATTTTTGAACTTGAGTGCACCAGTGAATTTGTGATCAAGTTTCCTGACAAATTACTCTGAGGAACAGATTGAAATTTGTGATAAAAAGTACATAGACGTCAGTGTTTTTATACAAGATTTACCCAAAAAGAAAGGAATTAGGGGAACCCACTAAAGTCCTAAAATAGTCTGATATCATTTTATACAACAATTAGCAATTTAGAGCAAAGATATGAGGGACAAGATTATGAATGGCTCACTCAGGATTAACGTCCGTTCTATTGAACGTCCATTAACATGATTTTGTGTTGGTTGTACCGAAGGAACTCAAACGGTAAAGCGGCTGGCTTAAAGAATCTCCCCCGTTTTCAGATTGAAGCTTTGCTGATATCTATCGGTTCCTCTCAACCGTGTTTTCGACTGCCTTTAAAGGGTTCAAGTGATAAGGTTTTCTTAAAAAAACGCTTATTATGTAACTACATTTTCCTCATAGAAAAAATTTCTGAGACAGGTTGCTCGTTATCCCGTTGTCTTTGTTGAAATTAATCATCAAAGAAAAGGAAAGTTAAAAGAGCAACATTTCAAAGATCTAGCAGCTTTTGTGCACAAATCAATGAAATATAGAAGGTTTCTCTCTGGAATGACATTATACTTTATTCATAAATATGGAATTCGATTAAAATAAACTCTAAAAAGCACCAAACTATAAAAACTGACATTAAGATTCATTAAATCACAAAGATGGACTTTTCAAGGGTTGCAGCAAAACATACGCACTGCAAAGATCTGTGCAATTTGTACTTTTAAGAAAACACGTTGCATAAACTGTGCATAAATTAATCATGGCAATAACTCGCGAGTGGTTTGTTAGCCCACGCCTAAGCAGTCCCGTGGCCTGGTCGCTTGCGTGCTCTCATCAGATGTAGGAAATGGACCCTGGTGTTTCTGCTCCAGAGAGGCGCTAAATAATTATGACAACCAAATGGCAAACTGTCAGCTCTATATTTGCCGAACAGCTCGTGTATGATGCCGGCGATAGCTTGCGCTCTTTACACGTTGGTTGTCGTTTTAAAGGGACAGTTGACCATGCCTGGCCCAACTGGCTGCAATCCAGACGTGTCGCTTTTGGCCATGTATTTATTAATTTAGATCGTCTTACGTAGGGAAATCAGAACAATTTAAACCGTGAAACAGCTGTACACTCAGGAAATGGAATCTCCTCGAGAATGTTAAATGTTTCGTATCAACCTCTGATTTATAAATCTTTCCCTCAAAAAGTATTTATTTCGGAAAAATGGCTCCATCTTGAAAGCTATGGGTGTCTCTAAAAGTCTGCTCATTCGCAAATCACGGCTCAGTGCTTGTAATATCATGTGAATATAGATCCTTTCTCCACACCCTTATTCAGCATGCTTCACACAGACTTGAAGTGTCGCTTGAGTGTCGGCCATTTTGTCCTCGCTTGCAGGAAGGTAGTGTCATGGTAGTACCGAACCGTGGTCCACGAGAGTGCAGTTACGCTTGATGTTGAACGATAGGCTATCAATGATTCAGGTTAATTACTTGAGGTAATGCTTTGCGCAGATGTTTCTGAAGGCGAGTCATAAATGGGAAGGTCACACCATAAGTACGTGGTTGGGTGCTCTGCGGCCAACCGCGCGTGATGACGGATACCAACACCGCGTCAAGAGTCCCGCCAGCCTTAGGCCCTTTTGACTGAATTACTGGCGTGCATAATAAAGACAAAACAGAAACCCAGCTTCTCTATAAATTAAGCATGGTTTATTTATTTACAGTGTGCTCATTTGACTCGAAAAACATCACTGGAACGTTATCTCATCATTATTTTCGACTCTTTTGCCAATCAAAGAAAAATAAAGATCAAAGGGGTTAAAGAGTATCCCCAAGAGACTGGAAGAAATCTTCCGCACTGATGGAAGAGCCTTTTTATTGAAACAATATGTTACGCATGGTGAGTAGTGCGTTATAACCAGAACAAAGGACGAGCGTTAAAAGTGAGCGTTAAAAGGTCTATGTAATACATTTTTACTACGATCCTCGAATCTGCACATTGTGTGTCACTTTGCACAGCTTTTAATTTCAGTTTGCTATTTTTTAAGGTATTTTTTAGTACTTTGACGATTTATTAATGTGAATTCCTTTGTCGATGAGAAAAACTGTGAGGTACTTCCACCTGGGAGAGAACCTCATTGTTTCAGGGATTTGCGCACAATAATTGCTGGAATGTTTTATTTTTGCAGAGTGAAATTTCCTTTTGTTTGGGATATTTATTGTTTTTCTACACACTGCGATGACAAACAAGTGTCGCACATGTTTTTAAATGGGGACATTTTGGTGGTTGTTTGCAGATGTCTCATAAGTCATTAGATTGAATATAAACTGTGTAATCAGGATATGATGCCGTGTGTGGAGACCCAAAGTTTTAACAGTTGAGGTCAGTCTTGTTACCACGAAATGCTTTTTGTTTTCTGTTCTGACAAGTATTGCTTGTCTCATACTGTTTCTCGTCCCAAGTAAATCACACGGTATATATTGCAAGAAACATCTTAATTTCGATCATGTGCTTGCTGCACAATGAATTTCAAAACAGATTTGAAAATTGAGAGCACCATTTGTAACAATCGCTGATGTTGGCCACGAACCATGCCGCACAATTCGTCATAACGTCTTTGCCAAAATCATAAGGGTCTCAAACTTATTTTGCATAATGGTAAAACTTAATGGACACAAAGTTGGAAAAATAAGAAATACCTTTTTATGAAATCAATTTGTAAGTTAAAACTAGAACAAAATTTAACCATGCACGTATAGTCGTGAATATTCAGTGTGCACGCATGTGAAACATGAAATATTTACTTTCATTTTTTTCTCCATTAGACTGCCGGTCGGATCATCATTTCACCGTTGACAAACTAGAAACAGGACTTACGGATTGGACTCAGACTTGGCATAGACTTGACCTTCTGGACTCGAATTCGGACTGGACTCAGACAGAAATTGGCTCAGGCTTCAGTTGATATTGATCTGGTTTCTTTCCTCTCTCGCCAGGACCTATGGCAATGCATTTGAACCGGATAGCGAATACCACACATAGGCTAATCAGCTCGCGTCTGCATGAACATGCGATGGTGTCACAGGTGAGACTTTTCTTTTCAGGAAGGTAAAGATTACTAGCGAAATGAATTTTTCAGTTGTTATAAAGGAGATTGTTCAGTCATAATTTCTGCGTTACACTCATCAAATTAAAACAATCACCCTAAACATGTATACAAATGATATTAAACGGAGAAAAGGTGCCTAAATATGAAAGGGTCTACACAAACCAATTGGTCACTTATACGATTTCCATTGACTTTTCAGCCTCCTTGTAATGCAACGTGTAGATGGCTTCGTGAACAACAGAGGAGGAAAAAACGTGTCTCAACTGTATGCAATTCGTACAGAAATTCGTCTGATGCGCGGGCGAACGATCTCAGTTACACCCTGACTCCTCAACTACTGCGTACTATGAATCATTTCTTGGTGTCGGATTCGCACAGATTGATCTACTGTTACATCCCAAAGGTCGGGTGCACAAACTGGAAGCGCGTGCTTCTCGTACTCGGCGGCGCTATAGGAGGAACAAACCAGTCCACACAGTCGGAAACGCACGTTATTGCACAGAAGCACATTCGAACGCTAGCCGGGTATTCACTGCAAGCGGCCAAAGAGCGTCTTGACAATTACACCACGTTCATGTTTGCACGGCACCCGTTCGAACGCATCCTGTCCGGCTACCGGGACAAGTTCTTGATGGACTATCCTGCCAGCACGAGCTTCAGGAGGAAGTACGGACCATTGATCTCGACATACGACGACCCAAGACATCGTCACCCTTCACGGCGATCCGACGGCACGCTGAACGTGTCTTTTGCACAGTTCGCCCGATACTTGGGTGATCCGGCCAACTCGTTCCGTGGCGACGATCCCACGGAACACTGGAACCAGATGTACCGCATATGTCACCCTTGTGCGGTTAGCTATGATATCGTCGGGAATTTCTCCACTTTGCACGAAGATGCCGATTTCCTCTTAAATCTCAAAGGCCTTGACACAAAAGTGTCATATCCAAAGTCAACCAACCCTACCAACAGCTCCGACGAGCAATACCTGGCAAGGTATTTTGCAAATCTGCTGCCAGGCGACATCAAGGCACTTCTCGACCGTTACCTCATCGACTTTGAGCTGTTTGGCTACACATTGCCATCAGTCGTCCCTGCAAAGAATTCTCCACAATGAATGGACGAATTGAAATGTTCACGAGGCATCTGTAGGAAGAACTATGCAGTCATGTTCTTATCCAAATCAATTTTCGTGCAATCATAACACGCAGTGCATGGCATTTGGACTACATGTAACACGTGTTTGAGTTAGACATCACAATTTGTCGATCACTGTGGTTTGCAACCAACATCTATGCTTCCATTTGTATGTACAAGGTTGTTTAGAAGTCCGATATTTTTCAGCGTATATTTAGCACAATACTACAACCGTTTGTTAATTCTAGTGCAATCTAACCAACTTAAAAATAAATAAATAAAAAACAAAACAGTGCTTGCCAAAATATGCATTGGTACGTAGAAGTGAACAATTAATATTTGCGCAAAACTATCTAGTGGATGAAAAACATGTAACTTGTTTAAACTTGCCGCGGGACCCTTTGTACATTGGGATACATCCTCCATTTTTTCCCTCTTGTTCCGTCAGCACCAAGTACAATCAGTGACTCGGAGAGAGGGGGGACCCTCACACTTTGAGAAAATCTCGTTTCCCAAATAAGCTGAGAAATGAAATGTTTTTGGTTTGCTCGTTGGGTTTGATTTGCATGTTTCAGGCCAATTTGAAACTGTGCTTTGGAACATGGGTATACACTTGGTGCACCCGATCCGACTACCCACCGCTACTTGTAAGTGGGGCCTGTGCAGCTAAATAGCCATGCTCTAACTGTGGTGCTAATATATTATCGTATGATGCAATGCAGTATGCACACTTACAAGTGAGGCTTGTTCGAGCTTTCTGCTTCCAAATTTTTTTGACGCTGACTAGCCTCACTTATAAGTGTGCCAGTGTATTGCATCATACCATAATATATTACCATCACAGTTATAAGTAGCGGTGGGTACTGGGATCGAGTGCTTCTCTCCTCTTTCCAGAGGCACCGTGAAGACATTTTCATCGGAAGTGGTTTGTCCGGTAATACAGCACTGTAAATTGTGAGATCATGAAAAATTGAAAATGTGGAGAAGAGGGAATTGAGCGTCTTTATTCACAGACACCGATGCTGTTATGGAAACTTGCATTTGCAGATTTCGCACGTGTGCGCAAAATGCTCCTGTGCCGTCATCGTCCATTGTGATACCTCTGACTTCAATACTTTATTTTCACTGGCCTCGAACATGTCACCAAAATTGTCTGAGAACAAGTCGGAGAAATCTGATTAACCGACTCGACGTGACTTCGTATGCGTCGTTCGTAAAGACCAAAGTACTACAAAGTTTTCAAAGATATTAAATACACTTCAGAAACTGAAATCTGGTAAATGAGAAGCACGATTGGATGTGATCTTATTATAATCTCCTTAGGCCTATATTTACAAAATGTGACTTTCGGGGATAATATATATATCATTTCCCTTGTGCTCCAAACCCAAAGCGTGTAAAAAGCTCCAAAATTAAAAATAATAAATAAACAAATAAAAATGAAATTCCCTATTTTTTGTCTTTCCCCCGAAACTTTTGTTCTGTTTCCGCCCTTAACCGAACTAGGAAGAGACTGCGTCCTTCATGTTTGATTTTAACAAATAACCAATGTGTGTTTCAGTTCGCACTTGGGTAGAGTTTGGAAGAGATATATTGGTGTGTATTTCCTGTCACGTCACGCTGCATATTTCAAGTGACATCTTAGCCCGACATGACATTGTGCATGCACTGTAATGGAGAGAGGTGACACATGAGGTCACTACTTGTTCGTCTCATGAGGGGCGTCTAACCCTGCAAAAAAATCACCGGTATGTTGATGTTCACAGCGAGAAAGCCTGCATTTTGTGCACTGTATATTAATACCGTCAAATAACTGACATGGTTTTAAAGAGGACACTGCTTGATAGCGCCTTATTTTTCATCTCATTTGCTCTTACCAATTCTGAGATATCCTCTAGTAAACACAATCAAACTTGATTTAGTGCCTCTTTCTAGCCTAATCACCAGACCTCATTGAAAGATGAAAACACACTTCGGTTTTACAGGTTGACTTCAAAGAAGATGCTGACAGCGCTGTGCACTGAAACATGCAAAGGTTTAACTTTTTTCACTTGAAAATTGGTATAAATTGACGGTATTGTTGGCAATATTTAGGCTGTCTGCAGTTTGCCTGTTCACTCTCACGTCAGTCACACGGCAAACAGCAGTTTTTATGCTAAAGAGTTCAACTTCTTGGAATGGAGACTGCAGTGAAAGACACGAGCAACAGTTGTTCATAAAACAGAAAAAGACAGCAAAAATGCTTCCTCCCTCTTTGCAGTTGACCTCTGTGTCCGAAATAGCTATTTTGATCAACTGAGTGTTGTGAAGTCAGGCGCGTGAGGAAAATGGACAGCACTGACGGGGCTTTGGGGCCTAGGGCTTGAATCTAACCAATCAACATTTTCAAAAGTTGCTTAGTGGTTTTGATGTTATTCAAAATTATTTTAGACGGACACATTTTGGGGCACAAATGTAGAGTGTTTGCTTGTTAACAGCTGAAAAGTGGGGAGGGGGCTTGCCTGGCCATGGAAATTTGAAAGGGGGGGGGTTGAACACCATATACACTATATAGGGGCGGTGTTAATGATAAAGATGTTCATCTGTAATGTGTATCAAATTCATGCACAATCGTATATTAGAATGGTAACAATCGTATATCAGAATGGCATAGTTATGGCTTTCAAAAATTGCTTCCCTCTTTAGTGGTACGTGTATTGCAAACTTTCTGTCATTGGCAAATACTGTAAATTCTTCACAGTCCGCTTTAATGTTTATGCTCATCACAAAAAAAGTGTGTGTGGGGGGTAGGATGATTCAATATCCCAATCCTCTCCCCACAAAAATGTGGGAATATAATATTACACTCCCATTCGTTCCCCGGATTTACGCAGGGTTCGTGCAGGGTTTTGCGTTCAGGCTTGTATTCATGAGTTGGCGTTGGAATACCTTCGGAACAAAGACATGCAATGGGGGTTGCAATGATACACCAGTAATAATCATAAAGAAAGACACCCTCGACGCATCCATGCATCACAGCGGTACCATAATCTGTACTAGGAACTAGTGCCTAGAGTGCTTATTGGACAATTCAGCCCCAAGTGATAACATCGTTTACATATTAATGAACTAGGAAGATAAGCCTGTCTTTTTAAGTGAAGGCAGTGGCGTAGCTGGGGGGGGGCACCCCCACAAATTCCCGTTGCACCCCCAGGTTCCCCCCCCCACTAAAAAAACGGATGAATGGATATCGAACAAGGCTAACACAAGCTCGCTCCCCAGAAACTACACCATTGAAAGCTGGTGCCCCCCATAAGATGCTTACCCCCCCCCACTAGTAAAATCCTGGCTACGCCACTGAGTGAAGGACAATTTGAAATTCTGCTGCGGATAGCAGCACCCTTGCTGTCTACTTTCAAGTAACATGAAAACTTTCATCGGGGGTGGTTCGTCCAGTAAAAAAGTGCTGAAAATCATCGGGATGTGAGAAATTCAAAATGTGTAGGAGAGGGAACTGGGCAGCCTCACACACAATGTAGAAGCTTATCATTGTGGAAAGTTGCGTGTATAATCGGCGTTTGAAATCCCTTTGCTTCAAGTTTCCAAGTGTTTCGGCCTGACCTCTGACACCCCGTCGCTTCTCTATTTGTCGGTCCTTATGAGATGAGGTTCAAGCTCTCTTCTAGTTTCAAGGAGTTACAAAAAGTCGAAAAGTGCATTAAATAACAAAATCAGCCGAATGAATGCAGACGCAACACCAGAACCTCCTCCTTATTATCTGCCATTCTCTACTTGGAATACACACCACTGCATGCGTGTTTCATTTCGCATCTCGGCGGGTCTTGGGGGAGACAGGTTGATGTGTCCCTCCTGTCACGTCACACTGCATATTATATGTGACATCCTATAGCCTGGCATGATATTGTGGATGCACTTTAGACGACAGACGACTGAAATCACTACTAGTTCATATTCACAAGGGACTTCTCAACTACAAGAACATCAGTGGGGATGTTCATAGTGGGAAATCCCGCGGAGAGGCTTTTGCATATACATGCACACGTACAGAGATAGCGCGAGCAGTACTCACTCTCCAGGTTTTTCCGATTGTCTTTTCTCCTTGCCAGCTCCCCTGACTAATTTTCTTTCCTTACTCATTCCTCGTAACTTACTCTCCTGACGCAGCTGCCTTTCCTATAGTCCTTTCTCATTACTCAGAGTAATTTGTTCTCCTTACTCATTCTTCTTATATCTTCACTCGACTCAGTTACTTTTCCTAGTCATTCTTCATTCCCTACTCTCGTAAGTAAAATGTTTTCCTTACTTATTCCTATCCTCGTTACTTTGTACTCCACTGACCTGAAATCTTAATGTTATGTCAAATTTTCATTCGGATAAGGTCGGGTATTCAATTATTCACAATGGCTCATCTTTCGTGTTTGTACAGTTAAAGTCTAACTCAGTCGTGGGTTCTGCGGTCACGCTATACAGCAACTGCATGGGTCATTGCCTGCCCTAAAGCACCAACATCCACATTCACTAATTTGTGGTTGAACACCCCGGCCTCTTGACACCAGAAGGCGCGACCAGAGGTGTTAAATTATTCTCCGGGGCCGACAGTGTTGCTGAGCGTGGCTAGTATATGACTACTTCCTTGAGAACATGGCAAATCAATCCTCCAGTTATGAGCCATTTACTGATGAGCTTTTTGCATGTTTTGACATCTTGTAGACGGTCGTCTCTCTTTTGGAAAAAAAAGTAGAAAGGAAAAATCAAGGGTCAAATTAAACACTTTACTGGGTCAATCACACAGATTTCAGTCACTGAACTTTGCCGAAATTGTTTACTCATGTAAAAACATTAATGACCCGAACTGTAATGTTTAGGATCATTCCATTTGCCAGTTAACTGATGTGTACTGTAATTTTTAGCCTGTATGTCTGGTTATGTCAGACGAAGATGATTTTTATCTCATAATAAAACTCCTAGCCTAAAAAATTGCATTGTTTGCAAATTTAAACAAGTCAAAATTAAATTTAAGCATAATGTCGTGCAAAACAATCTATGACCTTTGACTTCTTTTAGAAGAAAATGCCTGCAAAAATCCAAAGAGTACTCCAGTGTTCGCAAAACACGAATATGGGACATCATGGCGAGTAATCCGTCGTTGGTTCACTGACACCAGAACCCGCTTAATTCATACGTGAAAACAAACAGGCCCCAGATGATTAAAATGCATACACGAGTGTATTGCATGTACATATACATGTACCTGTATATATTTACAATCATGTGTAGTTTACATGTTCATTAGCTGGTCGGATGAGGAAAAGAAACGGGCCACGCCCTTAGGACGTTTTTAAATACATGGTAAAGAGAAAAGACTATTTTTGGGCCTTCATTTTCTTTCCAGATCATGTAAACAAAACTGCAAATCAATCTTCGCCTTCCAGGGAGGACATAGAAGGTTGCATACAGAAATTCCCACATCCCCTTCCCGAAAATACGTGCCCCCGCCCCAAAGAACTTAGTTCTAGATCTGGCCTTGAATAAATTTGCGACCCATTTTATGTTAGAGTTAGACAACTTTTAAAGTTATGAATGTCAAGCTTAGTTATTGTGAGTAAATTGGGAGATTACTCTCCAAGAACTACAAACCGTGTTTGGTACATCACAGTCCTATTCAGCTTGGTTTAGCCCACAAACCTTTGCGTTTCCGTAATCACTCACAGCATTGGGCCAAGCTGTCGGACTATTACTTGAGGTCAGAATGCTCGAGGAAACTTTTCATCTAGCGGATATGACTCATCATTGACTAAACGCTGCATCCTAGGCAGCCGCCATTTGGGTGACTTCGGTTCTTGAAACATAGGGTTCGTTGTAGGCATTCTCTTAGGCCTATACATTCTAGTAAATTAGCATAGTAATGGCTAAAAAATCAGCAAACAATGCAACACGAGCACAAACTGACGTGTAATCGCTGGACTCGGGTCTGTTACGGGCTACGTGTTAAATTCTGGGTGAATTGATACGGCACGATTTCCAACCCCTCGGTTTGGTCATTTATTTTGACTGAACTCTACTTGTGGCGCAGCAAAATTTCCAGGCATTATTGTCTGACAAAATGGATTTTTTTTAATGAAAGTATAGTATCGACTTAAAGCAAGAAGGGTCAATGGTTTGCCAGCCGACGAGGCGGTTAAGCAGAATGGTCAATAACAAACGAATATTCGTCTGCTGCTTGTGCCTGGCGCTAGTTGCTGTTGCGCTCTTCATCATGCAGCCGTATGACAGCTACTACGCTTACTCAGGTACGTGCAAATTTGAGTTTTCCCAAGTTGGCGACAATTTTGACAGTTCTTCCATTGGGAACGTTTCTATGGAGTCCATAGTGCCTATAGATCTTGTTTGGACCATGAGTATGCGTGCTGTGTTTATTGTGTGTCTGGCATCTGTGGTTTTTTCACGCTTCAGTTTGACGAATTTTGTTCCATGTTACAGGACGATTCGGCAGTCTAGGAAAGGGCACGAATAGAGATACATTTGACTTCATGAGCCGTAGACAACTTTTCAGCGTTGGTGTGAGTACGGTAGAGAACTATTTTTGTGTAAACTGTGGAGAAATATGGATGGACAGGATGCAGCGTATTAGTAAAAAGCTTATACTTTTTATTGGTCATTATTGGTTCAGGAAAGGGCTACTCTTCCATTACTCAATCTAAACAAGTTTCCACTCTTTAATAAATCCTAAAACAATTGTGACGAATCGTCTGTTTTCATCAAGCGAATGGTTCAGGTCTAGTCCCCTTCTCACCGCATTAACCTTTTGGGGACTCAAAGGAGCATCGAGCTGTTTTGCACATTTGAGGGCGGTGTCCCCAAGTTATCGCTATGGCGTGGAATAACACGCGGCTGCTTGGGGTAGCATGCAATTTCCCATACGTGCGTAAATTCTCTGCCGGGCCTCTATTCAGCATTTTGGGACGTGCAAAACATTCAATCCCACATAATAGGATGAGAGAGCGCCAAGATCTGTACTGTTCGATCCATGGGCACGAGGTTGACCCAGGTCATAATCCCCATCACATACATATCCAAAAGAGAGTTCATAGAAATTGCACGTTAAAGCTCTATTTTAAGAAGGGTGGCGTGTTCCACCTTTACAAACCAGACTAACACCAACTCAACTTACTGTTGTTTTGCTTCACACAACTCACAAAGCCCACTGCAACATGACAGGCATATCATACAGCCGTGACAGCAGCAAATATGGCTAACACCGCATTTGAATGCTCTTTGAATCTATTCCCACAGCTGTCAGGATCCAATCGTTCTAAAACCTGGGAAGACGAGCAGGCATTCCGTAAGAAACTCGTATCAGACACTTGCCAGGCCGTTCGCAAGCGATCCAAAGGTATCTACCCTAGACTGGTATACAATTTGACCAAGGCACACGATGATCATCTGCTCAAGTTCTTGTTAGTTGTTGATTCCCTGAAGACGGTCTACTGTTATGTCCCAAAGGTCGGCACGACTAGCTGGAAGCGGTTGGTTCTTTTCCTCGAGGGGAAAGTCAACTCGACGGACGAAGTGGGCCAAAAGAAGACGCACAACTTAACAAACATTTTCATCCGTAACCTCAACTCCTTTACGTTGGAAGAGGTCACGAAGGTCTTGGCTTCTTACAAGAAGTTTCTTTTCGTCCGAAACCCCTTTGAGAGGATCCTGTCGGCATACCAGGATAAGTTCCAGAACGACTATCCAGCCAGCACGGTGTTCCGTAGGATATGGAGCGAGCGCATCATTCGGTACAGCAGCAGCGATCAAACCGAGGCGCTGCCTGGAGGCAAACGGAGATCGGACGGCACGCTGAACGTCTCGTTCCCCGAGTTCGCTCGATTCGTTGGCGAGTCCTTGGACTCAGGCGTCCACAATAGTCGCAACGAGCACTGGATGGAGGTATATAGGCTGTGCCACCCGTGCGCCATCGAATACGACTGGATCGGTCACTACGAATCCATGCAGACGGACGCTAACAAGATACTACGTGCCGTTGGCGTGGATCCCGCGGTCAAGTTCCCAAACTTCACCACTAACCCAACGGATAGCTCAAGTTACAGCACACTGCAGCGATACTATTCGCAGCTGTCTACAGACGACATTGTTGCCGTTTACAAAAAGTACTTTCTGGATTTTTTCATGTTCGGCTATGACATACCGTCGCCAATCAAGTTGATTATGGATTGAACAACTATGTCGTCGGTGTTTTAAGGACTTAAGAAAAACTTTGGGAAATCGATTAGGAGGTTTGGTGGCCATTTCATTCAATTTGACTGGGCACAGATGTTTTTTGGTCACTTCATGAAAACACTGACAACATTTTGAAGTAGCTTTTTGACATCGTCATCGTGACTAAGACTGTCATTTCCACGAGCAGTCATCACCCTGCTTGCTTGAGTCCATTCAAATTTCAATGTGCCTCAGGACTTAACCGTTATGGTCAATTATGTTCAGGTCATAGTAAATAAAAATTGGAAGAGACGCCGAGGTCAGTCCCTCGAAACTGGTTCTGTACACATCTGAATTGGGCAGACCATGGAACAAAGACATATAATAATGGTGTCACAAACATCGATGTAACGATTATCGTATAATGAAGAAAGCCTGGACCTCTGCGATATGAGTGTCTGTGTGTGAAAACCTTATCATGAGAAGCAAACGTATCTTTCTCAACAAGTAGCGCGTTGAATGAGTGTACTTGAATTGAGTTGACTGACAGACTGATTGACTGACAGACCGACTGATTCATTTGACATGAAAGGCCTACTCGTATAGGCGCGAAAGCTAACACAAACGCGAATTTATGAGGTCAGCTCAAATATTCGAGCGCCGTATGGCAAGGTAATTAAAAAACCCTATTTACACAGGGTCAGCAATTCGCATGAAATAAATGTGGCGGTTGTCCTCATGAATAGTCATGAATAGTCATAGATGTATATGTACAGGTGTAGCCAGCAACGCCAGCCCTGCACAGTCTGTGCTTCCTCGTGTGCTGTTCCCCTATTGGCTTATATTTGTTGACGCCGTGACGAAGCGAACCCGAACCCCCAAGGAACGACACTGGCGTTTAATAGAGCGCAGGTAACTGATCTAATGTCTAGATCGCTACATCATTGTTTTAAATCATAATGTCACTCGGTTCAAAACGTACGTTTCGTTTTATTTCTAATGCAGCTATAATTTTGTCAATTAAAGCTTGCGCGATTGGGCGAAAAAGCCACCAAACTTTGTTATTTTAGCGAATTTTAGAGGAATCGAATGAATTATCAAATATATTTCCACCGCATGTTTCAGTGCATGGTGCTGTCAGCAGCTTATTTGAAATCAAATGAAATCAGGTGAAATAGGCCGGGTTTTTTATTTCAGTTACAATTCTGGTGATCCGACTAGAAAGTGGCACAAATTCAATTTTGAGTGCTTGTATGTACACGGGGCATAGGCCTATTTCGGGATGGCCAAAAGTATATAATATGAAATAAAAACCATCATCAAGCTAAACACGCCCTCCTTAAAACAAAGCGAGTTATAAATACCGCCAGTTGACAATTTATGCTTAAAATGTACATTTTGCATCACATTTTCGGGAAACACACTGTACATATAGACACTGAAATGTTGCCTTGAAACGTGCCGAAAGTGTCTGTATGTGTCATAAAAAATTACGACAGTCAAACCAGAAAAAAAGTGTCAATGTTTATATTTATAGCCTATATAGGCCTATAGCCGTCTCACCTATCAAGCAAGAACAATAAAGAATGTTTATACCATAACGTGTACAAACGAATAGTATACATGTATATACATAAAAAATTGAAGACAAGCAGCAGTCGCCCACGGAAATACATCGTGACGTCATGTCTAGGATGCCTCTTCTGTTTTTAGATGCACTTTTAGATGCAGTTTCTAAAATAGCAGCTGTATATGAAAACATATAAAATGGGTCGATTTGTTATGAAATTTAACTGAAGGGGGGAGGACTAACTAAACGGTTGGGTTTCTTGGAAGACAACGTGTACATCAGTGTTGTACATGTAGACTCGAGTAATTTTATTGTGAGACTGTACCTGACTTCGGCACTGACGTAGGTTTATCACTCACACTAATCCATGCAGACCTACTTTAGTTTAATAAAAGTTATAGCAGTATTATCCCTATTCATAATTATACACAACGAGTATTGTAAGTTCCCACTGCACGGAAATCGAACGGACGTTCCCTTTAATGAAAAATTCGACACTTTATCATTTTGTACTTCGGATCACTTTCACCATGGAACTATATAACACATGCTTTCACCAGTCCCCACAGCGGTGTGACGCTGACGTGTCGTTCAGATGGCCTGCAGCCTACAGGGCCCATGTTTCTGCCGCTCACTGTACAACGAGGCACGGTTGGGAATGCATGCATATGAACCAGACCTTGTTCCACTGTCTGCGCAAAAATTCCCAAGGAACTTCTTGCCTCTTGGCCGGCTTTGAGGCACCTTCGTACGAGTAAAGTAGTAATGCCAGCTGCACGTGCTCTACTGTGTTCACGGTCTAATCCAATAACGCCCTTCATAACTTGTGCATTTGCTACACATGTTCAAGCCTGCAGGGCAATCGAGCCGCGGCATAATTCTTGTAGTCTGGTCACGGAAGAGCCAATTGGCTTCAGGCTTAATACTTGGCTCGACGGGCCGTAACGTCCTTCAACTGAGCGGCGCATAATGGTGCCATGCCCCGTGTGGGCAAAAACAACCGAGTAGGATCGCTGAAGTGGTGAGGTCTGTCATTTTCGCATAAAAATCGACTACTGACCTGCTGAAGTCAACGTGCGAGATTTGCGTTGTATGACAGCGATATCATGTGCTCTCCTGAGTTTGTTCTTCGTCAGAGCTCTACCAATTACTGAGTACCTCACAGCCTGCAGTTCATAATGAGCAATGTCTCCATGCGGTGTGTTCTGTTCGGTCTGGCCATGATGGCCTTGGCGTTGTTTGTCGGCATTCAACGTTTTGGTCTTCCTGCTGTTCTCGCCAGAGGTAGGTAGGGGTCACGCAAGCACGTCGTATCAAAGTTCATACAAACGTCCTGGATAATACATGTAGTTCTCGCATAGACATTATAAAAAGCCTCGATTTATCCATGGAGGTAGGTCAGAGCATCAGAGACGTGATATGGCAATGCGCACTTTTCATGGAGTTTGAGAACTCCACAGTAAAAATTTGAATTTATTAATTTGGTCAAGCATTGTCCAGTGTCAAAGATAATGATAATTAGCCATATGCGCATTGTCTTTCAGTTGTAAAGACTATCGTTGCAAATGTTCAGCTTGATTTTTTGGCATATATGCGTGGTGTATTGCTTGTTGTATGTAAGAAATCCTTCGACCGGTATTCATGCTTTCGATGTCGGCTCGCTATTAGAGTAAGTACAAAGAGTAAAGAAACTGTGCAAATATTGATTTGTTTTCTTAGTTTTAGTGTGGCCAGTTTAAATCCCAATATTGAACAAATACAGGGGTGCATAATTGGGGATACCCATGTGTGAGGTGTGGATTGAATTTCTGATAATTTCCCTTCAGAATGAAGCAGGGGCAGGTTGAAATGAATCACCACACACGTACTTTGCTGCTGTAAGGTGTCTTTGCTCACCGCGGAAACTTAAAGACTAAAGTAAAGAAGGGAAGTTGAGCGCCTTTTTAGTAGCCACTGATATTTTGTGGTGTTTTGTTTGACACCAGGACGTAGGTACTGGGTGTGCTATGAAAACAGATTTTTGGTCTCGCATAAGTCTTTTGGGACATTTGCCCGAGGGGTCCTCAAAACTGTTTTTGGAAACTGTTTAGCTAGCTCTCCAACTCTTTTGAATGTTTAGATTTTCCACTGTGGCGGCCGCGGTGACAAAAAATAGGATAAAATTTTGTTCTTCATAATATTGGGCTTTTAGATGGCCACTGAAATCCTGTGAATAAACTGCGTTATCAGTGGCCAAGCGTCCAGTGGAAGGATCAATAATGCAATAAAACCACCTCTGGGCAAGTAATGCGTTTACGAACGTCGGCCATCTTGGACTTGAAGCATGCAATAAAAGGGTATTTGCTTAATATTGTGGTTTCTATACTATACGGTATCTACGTTATCAGAGGCAATGAATCCAATTGTACTGGTGGTAATGTAATAAGCCCACAGAAGGCAAGGAGGGCACTCAAAGCAGGCAGGCTGTTTTCAAGGCTATAGTACAGCGTTCTTTTTGTATCTGATGGCAAAAACAGAAGATGGATGACATATATGCCTCGGTACCAGTGGAAACATTGGTTTTCTGATTCAGTAGGTCTATGCCAAATCGGACTGATCGATGATAAAAGAACAGTTGGTCGATGTAAACGATATGTTGCCCAGACGTATTTGCCTCATTGGCTCTCTATATGTTAAATCCATGAAAACACATGACACAGTGAGTGCTCGACAAACATTGTCATGCATTTTAAAACATCTGTCTCGTGAGGGTGGGGAGACCGAACAACATATTTCGAGACTTGGGACTCATTACTGGGCTAAGAGTGGGTTTCAGAACTTCGACATGAGTAAATTAATGCTCGGAATACATGCACTTGGTTTCTTCGCAAAGACTCGAACACACTCTTGTATTGACTTTGGCCTGAGACTGAGGGAATGGGTTTTTGTCTCGGCTTGACGTGGTAGATTCCCATCTTAATTCAGTGTCAGTGAATCTGAATCCTGAGGCAAAATGCTTTCATCATCTTATTTCCTTTTGTTCGTAGGACCTATTCCAGTCAAGAAGCTGCATGCCAAGCGAGGAAAGGACCCGCTCCATGAGAAAAGTGGAAGTGATGTGAGTGTGCAAGAAGTCGAAATTTTTTAGATGGAGCGTCCATTACTGTGGTCACGAGATTCATTCTGGTAAACAAACCTCTACTGAAGTGCGGCTCTTGTGTGATTGCGTCACCACTGTCAACTTTTTTGGGATTCGTGGGTCTGAATGTTCTGATTTTTTTCAAATGAAGCAAGCCCTATAACCATTTTGATAACGGAAGTAAACATTCTACCCCAGATTGCCAGTATTGGTACATTGATAGATTCTCATCAATCTGAGAACAGCCAAACTGCTACAAAAGTTAACATTTAAGGGTGTCCCGCCAAATGCTGGCTTCAGAGTTCCGATGAACACAACTTGTCTTGCTTTATGTTCTTTTTCTTGTCTTTGCTTTTTAAGAGATCGTGCAATAACCAGACTTGTTTATGGGATGAAGAGCAGTTGTACCGGAAGAGTCTAGTGTGGGATATGTGCCATGCCATCCACGCTGAAGGAAACACCCACAACTACCCGCCTCTACGCTACCGTCTGTCCAGGGATACACCGCGGCAGGCGTCCTTGTTCAGTCACTTCTTGGTCATCGAGTCGATGAAGCTGATTTACTGCTTCATCCCCAAAGTGAGTTGCACAAGCTGGAAGCGTCTACTCCTTTTCATGAGTGGGAAATATAACTCCATGAAAGACATAGGTCAGTGGCAAACCCACGTCCTTGCCCTCAAAGAATTCCGTGTTCTTTCTTCATATTCCGTCGAAGACATCGAAAATCTGTTGGCGACATACAGGACGTTCGTCTTCGTTCGGAACCCTTTCGAGAGGATCCTGTCGGCCTATCAGGATAAATTTCAGGAGGACTATCCGGCGAGCAAACTCACCCGGAAGCAGTACAGCGAGAGAATCATCCGACAGACAGGTGGCTCGCCGGAAAATGTGCAGAAACTGTTGACGACCCAGAGACGGAAAGACGGAACCCTGAACGTCACCTTCTGGCAGTTTGTGAGATTTGTGTCTAGCCTGGACGGCCCACGGACCAAACAGTACATGAATGATCACTGGGCTCAGATGTATCAGATGTGTCATCCGTGTCTGGTGGATTACGACTGGATCGGACACTACGACTCTTTGCGGATTGACGCCGATTCGATTTTAACGGCCGCCGGGTTTGACCCCCAGTTCCGATTCCCAAATTTCACCACGAACCCCACGGGCAGCTCGAACGAAGACACGCTGCTGCGTTACTATTCCACGTTGACTACTTCGGAAATCGAAGCTCTGTACAAATATTATGAACTTGATTTTAGCCTCTTCGGTTTTGATATCCCAAGGACTATAAGAAATCTACTCAACAGCAGAGGGCGCAGTGACAACTATACTCTGAACGGTCGAACGAATTTCGCTATCACCTCAAGTTAGTTTGGAGGAGACTGGGGCCAGTTGTTAAAAATATCGCACTCTGCACATGATGAGTAGTTTATTTTTCTCCCCATGGAAGCTGAAGATATCAGCTATAAAAAAATCGGCCACAATTTTCAACCGTTAAACAGTGATCGCAGGTGATATTGAGTTGTTACAAAGTGTTGGATAGGCCCTACTTGGCGCCACTTTGTCACAAAAATACGTAGGCCTATGCACACTCACATGCCCAAGAAAAGATAATATGCGTTTGGAATTCCGAGCATTATCCTTTCCATTTTCTTGCTTTAAATATTTTATATAGGGTCAACCATAGCCTGTCAATCAAGATTACTTCACAGGTCTGTGACTTTTGGCTCCAAAATCTTACAAACATAAATTTTGGGGGAAAAAGAGAAAATAGAGAACTCCACATCTGCTTCGGTTATGCATATTTTAATTCATGTGTTCAACTTGACATTTGTGAGTTTTTAAAAGTATTTATACATTACGCTGGGTTAGTAGTGATATAACTTGTAATACCTTGAAATACCGGACATTGGTTGATATCAGGAAAACTTATTTGTTTTAAACTGGTGTTCATACTATAACAATAAAACAGTGAATCAAATTACAGCTCTGCAAAAGAGCGAACTACATATACATTGTATTTTGAAACGAAAAGAATACTTGGGGATTCGCAATTTTTGTTGTACACAAAATACTGAGGAAACTCGACTTGAATAAAGGCTATAATCGTGGATCTAGAGGATTTTTTCGAAGGGATCTTTCGACATTTCGACGGGGGGGGGGAGTTTCCTGAAACATTTTCCTATTAGGAAAGTACACGGTTTTTCCCCAAACAGTTGTGCAATTGAAAAAAAACATGCTTCGGGTCCACGTTTTTTTGTACCATGTTTCTTTATACGTAAAGTGGCACTGGGTCCTCATTCCGACATGATTACAGTCATGTGATAGGGATAAAAATAGTCTTTCATCGTTTTGTCTGAAAGGAAGTAAAACTGTAACAACTTCTCCCAGTAGAAATGGCCCTGGTCCCTCAAATGACAAATAAAAACACAAAGTACGATTAAAATTATATTTATGTATTTATTTTTCCCCACAGTGTAATTCGAAGACTACGGTGGCACAAAGCTGTGGAAAGATGGTACGCGCGCGTGCCTCTTCGACCAATCCGGTTCGTAAGTGACTTCGTCACCAAGGCGGACGCGCCACGATTCGCAGGGCTCCCATTGGACGATCGCAGAAGTTGTGCGTTAACTTCCGGTTCCATGGTTCCACTAAAGGGTGCATTCTACCAAATGGTTGTATTTCTGCGCGCGAGCTTATTAATATTTTGTGATCCCACGGGGTTTTTGCAATAAGACATGCCATAATCAGGAGGCATAGAAATATTTCTATTAATCCGGAATTTGCGACTGATAGTTTCGAGTTCGGGGTATTTCTTTCACAAAAAGCCCAAAATTGCGGGCCTATTTTGGATGGAGGCGGGCGGCTACATTCAGAAATGAGCGCTTAGTTTACTGCTGTTTTGGGGGTATCTTCCTTGAAAGGCGAATAAAAAAAGATTTTCGTGGCTAACCCCCATGAAATTGATACAAAAAGTGATCTTCTGGCCATAATGTGCGACAAGCGCCCCCTACGTTCAAACTCTTCTCAACCCTTTCATGTTTCTCTTCTCATTCAGTAATGTGCAGCGATGGCGTGCACATCCCTTGTTTCTTAGCTGTGATGGACCACGATCCACGAACAGCTGGCAATAATTTTTATTGATAATTTATTAATTTCAACTTTGATTCGGAGTTTTTAAACCTGTATTACATATTTTTCATGTGGGACTTTCACATGTATCAGAAAAGTTAATTATCGAGATGAAAATTGTTTTCAGGAGAGAAATTTTGTTTACCTGCAATCCTTTTTTGACCGCGCTGTGCCAACCTGCCAACGCGTTGCCCGCATACGCATCGTGTGCGCGGCTGGTTGTGCGTGCTGCATCTCCACACACTGTGAGTTTTGATCGGACGTGAAGAATTTTTTTTACTGTACGCGTAACCAAAAAGCAATGGACAAAATTTGAATGGGACGTTCAACGACCACAGTCGTTTTGTAGGGAAGGATGTTGAAGGGAAGGATTTCCTTTAAACGACTACAGTCGGAAGGTGAGGCCTTTCCATATATATTTCAGGAAAAAAACTCGATTGAAGGTGGGAGTTAGAAATTCTAGCTCTATGGTAAGATGCATGCCACCTTATTATGGAGATATGTGGATGCCACCCGCAGTTATCCTGGGTCTTATCGAATTAATTAATACCACAAGTTGAAGGGAACGTGCACTGTACAAATATGGATTCAGTTTGACAGTACATTATCAAACGCAGCTTTTAATATGGGAAAAAACACCCGATGTGATGTCCGAAACAATGGCGCCCCCCAAAAAACCGCTGTTAACACTGTGTGGTAAAATTGGTGTTAAAATGACACCATCGGTATCCATATATGACAACCTAAAGCGGTGGTGTCCTATATGGATACCGAAAGTATTGAATTTACACTACAGCTTTTGCCATGAAAATCCACTTCAAAAGCTCCTTTGTTCCTGGTCGTTAGACATGGTCACGAACGGACTCGGTTTCATTAAATTGTGTTTTGAAATGATATGGACAACAGCATTGTAATTAAATGAATATTAAAAAGCAAATAAAGCACACACTGTAGAGTCTCCATTTGATTGATTGACACCGAATGCATGATGCCTAAGTGTTATCAAGTTAACAGTTTCCTGGGGAAACCATCTCAGGGATTTCTCCGTATGAACACCTTTATAAATTAATTTGAGACTGCTCGTAATGTGCTGAAATAATAATGTGTAGATGTACAAGTGTAGTGATTTCTTGAAGTAACTTACATACATCAAAATAAGACGCCACAGATTTTATGATGCCTTTGAAATATACTATTCCTTTGAAAGGACGAGAGGTTTAGAGTGGACATTAATTTCAACATTTTTTCTTGCCTGAAAGGAAGTTTCAGCTATTTCTTCTCTGTACCGGTTGTTTTGAGACTAATGGCTATTCGTGGTCGTCAGTTATGTTTGGGTCCCCGACTTACTTCAGCGTTGCCTGTGTACTGCCGCCGCTGGTACTCTTAGCCGGATGCACATGTCGCTAGTTTCGTATATCATAGCAGCGGGACGTTGGTTTGCGGACGACTTCGTCTCCGATTGTGGGCCTGAAGTGTTTAACTAAAATTGAAGTACTGCAATGTTTGGCTCTTTTGCATCTTACTTGATGTTTTGTGGCACTATCAAAATTACTATTCCGCTTGCAACCTCAAAGTCAGGAAGTACGGGTCTGGCTGGTCTGCGCACTCTCCTCTTATCTTACGCAACAGTTGCTCTCCAGACCACGAGCGTCTGTCGGCGGCCTGAATATATCACCATAAGTGGTAAATATGATTCTCTATGTTTACAGATATTCCTTCACAGATAAAACCAAGTGTTGAAGTCTTGTTTTTATTCCTATGTGTAGTACTTCAGTCGTGGAGGAAGGTCCTCCATGCATGCTTCAGTGCAGTACACAGCACTTGCTGCGTTGCTGTTATGGTTCTATGTCAACTTTGACCTCTGACAGTCCAGGAAGCACAAGTACACTACGCACTGTCACTCAGTGAGTATCACTTACCAGCGACCTTTAATGCTCTGTTATCACTCATTCTGTTCATTCCGCCATGACAGGTCACAGTGTGATGTCTTTTTTTTTAATATCTTGATTTTCTGGCTTACAGTTTCAATTTCTGGGCCTACAATTAGATTTCTAATTTTATCAAGGGCTATATTACAAACTCCGCATCTGTTTTGACGTGGTCTGGGCCTACTTCCAGAACTGTAAGTCCTTTAAGTAGTCTGGGCCATTCCATCACCATTCACATTATTTTAATGTATCACATCATTATAACTTAAGTCACTGTTGACCTCATACTGTTTTAGCAGTGTTCAAGGTGAATCAAACTACAGTAGCCCGGCCCTACCACTACCTTAGGTATAGGATACTCAAAAATATAAAGGAATATTTAACAAAATTACTTGCTTTGGGAAAACAGGTGTCTTGTGGTTGTCGCTCTCATTACAAAAATGGGAAAAAGAAAGTAGGAAATGTTCTTGCAAAGTTTGCTGTCAAAGCCTCTCAAATCTGTAGTCTGTAATACAAAATGATATGTTTTCTTTTTAGACAACCCACAGTATCAGTGAGCGATGTATATTTGAAGGTGTGTCACTCACATCACAAAGATTACTTCCCTTGACACAGATTTAGAATCTGAATTTGATGAATTGTTATACAACCTAACTCCACTTCCCACAAAATGCAAACCTTTCTGTCTTAAAAAAGAAAAATGCACAGTAAAACTTCTGCATTACTTGTATAAACACAAGGTGTACAAATAACACACCTAACAGTTTTGTTCCAAATCTACCCTTTATCAAACATACAGATATATGTATATATTCATCTATACTGTCTCACTATTCAAATCAAGGGTCTTCTGGGCCCTTTGATTTGATAACTTTGAGGCCTTGGTGCTTATTTTTAGTTAAATTAATAATACAAATTTTCCACTTTTTAGCCGTATTCACTACTGCATGGAATTGTCAATCCATTATAACTTCATAGATTCAACTTAATTTCATGTTTCTTTCTAACACAGCTATGAACTGGGTACTGAAATTATTGAGCATTTTGATGGTGGTTATATTTACTCCTCTTTTAGTGAGGAATTTTTTATTGGAAGTCTCTTTCACTATTTTGAGAGGACAATTTATACTGTTGACCAGTTAAAGACTTGGTTGACTTGTTTGAAACCTTGTTTAGAGTAAATTGTAAATTCATGAAAATTTTCGATTTTTATGTTCCTTCCAATGCACTGGAACACTACATGTGCAGACTTTCCCTAAAATCTAGACCATATGCTTTTGTTGTACATTGCATGCCACAGTTAGTTTTCACATAGAGCTACAACCCATGGTTTTCATGACTCATGTGCCAGTGTAGATGGTGCCACTAGGACTGTTATTGTTAATCCACCACATGGGGATCAGTGTCTCCAGTTTCTACAGACAGTATGACAGAATTGTTTATTTTACAGTGAATATTCATTACATCATGTTTGGTGTTCTTTTCCATAAAACCAGGGACAGTGTACATGTAGTTGCAAGCTTGGTCAAGTGGTTAAGACATCTATGCAAAATTGCAGGAAGTTGTGGGTTCAAATCCCACTCCAGAAAGCTTGCAATATTTATTTTTTGCAACTCTCAGACCACACAGAGCAGATGTGAATATCTGCCTTGAGCAGAGCACCCCCTTATTGGTTGAAAAGAGTCGTATTTGTCGGGAGTGTTCATTTTGTTGGTAGTGATGTAGTAACACGTGCATTTCATAGTCGTTTGTCAATCAGCAAAGTTCAGTTCCGACCAAAGCCCAAGGAGCCTCTGCTGCTAAGAAAATTGTGCCATCTCTTGGTCCAGCTTGAGGCTGATTCAAAATTAACGTCCCTGATGCAGAGCTAAATAAGTATCATATTCTTTTCTTATTTACAGATTTTGTCTGAGTTGTCTTTCTTTTTTATAGATTTTTGTATAGGCTTACTCTATACATGTACATTTTGGTCTAATTTTCCCAGAAATGTGTTGGTCTTTTTTCGATTTCAGTTTGTTGGGTTTAAGTGGTCAGACCATGTGGTCCTGGTTGCCTTTTTTTTGTTTTCAGGTTTGATCTGGATTTTTCTGCTGAATCTAGATTACATTCATGATTACATTTTGGTTTTGGTCAAAAATGTTTCTTTGCTTGAGTCCTTTCTTTGAATTTCTTCAGTAACTTTATGCAGTCGTCTCAAGTATTAACATTTCTGAAAATATGTGAATCTTTTTTTCTTCTTTTTGTGTTTGAGGTCTAGAACTGTGTCTCTTCTTCAGGCACATACATTCCTGGCAATTTTTCCTTTGAAATTCAGATCGCGAGTTTAGTTTAGCAAGATGAGTTCAGAGTTAGTCCCCCAGCCCCAAAGAATGTTGTGCGTGAGTTTCTGTGTCGCAGTAAGTGTTACATTGACCTGTGTACTGTGTCAGCAGAAAGAAGAAAAATGTTCAAATGGAGACATCCCAAATGAAAGTCTGCAATAATGGATATCGTGGGCTAAGCCTGGCACGCTCTTGATAACATGGATAACCTAACACTCTTGATAACAACACTTATGAATGAGACTTTGAAGCAAATACAAAGATCTTGTTCCTTCCACTGCTCAACCATTTTATTCCATTGAAAACTTCTTTACATGTACATGTATGTTCCATTCAGTTGATTTACATGTAACTCAAACCGCATACAGGTTCAGTGATAAGAATTTTACAAGGGAAGTATTGCTTTTTGCAACTTTCTTATCTTAAATCTGTTATGACATCTGTCTTGGTTGAAAAGTAGAATAATCTATGTTTTTCCTGACAAATCAGGATATCATGCTAGGATATTATTACAGGAGGACTCATTTTCTGTTCAAATTATGAACCCAAAAGTTAGTTACCGGTAATGAAAAATATTTGTAAGAAAACTTTGCTCACTGACCTCAGGTCATGAACTACAACAACAAACCAAACATAAATTACGACAGCAAAATGTCAGAAATTTCATCGAATGTTGGTGCAGAAATACATGAAAGACAGGCTTCTCCATTGGATGACATTCCATTTTGATCATAAATATGCAAATTGGCATATACATTGCCTAAAAATAATGAAGTACTGAAATGCACAAAACATGTGAAAAGATGAAAAATCATATTAAACAGGCTACAAAGGACCAAGAAGTATAAGCTTAGATGTCTTTACAAGAACTTCAGTTTAGAAGTTTAAAAATTACACAGCCTAGGCTCTTTTTCAACGTTGGAATATTAAAGTGCATGGTGACTAGAACAATGTTTACATTATTATATTGCTTGTTTCTGAATTCTTAAACAAGCATAATGCAATCTTTAAATAAACCGAAACTAAGATCCATTTCATTTAAACTGAGGTGCATTTTAGTGGTCATAGCCAAGGATGCTTTGGTTGTTGTCAATTAGGTAAGAATTACACGTGATCATGTAGTACTCAAATACTCAGAGGTCACAATTATACAGAAATAACCAAATCAGTTCTTGGTCATGGTCACCTTACAACTAATCAGCTATACATTCTTACTGTCCTGTTGCTGATACTAAATACAAGGAATCTCGCAAAACTCTCTAATATTGTAACTAACCATTCTCTGAGTAAAATGAAGATTGTTGTGTTACTGATACTAAACGTAGGGAATCTGGCCAGACTCTCTCCTGTTGTAACCAGCCATCCTCTGAGTAAAAGGAAAATTGTCTTGTATGCTTGTAAACAAATTAACTACAATTTACACTGAGGTGCTCAAGTTTAAACACAGTTATCAATTTTGTTAATGGTTGGCATCTACTATAGTGATCATATTCTAAGCAATCCCTGTTCATGCTGTTTATGGAAAGTTTACCGTAACTGTACTAAAGGATTTTCCATGGGCTTACGTCAGTGAGCGGGCATTTTCAGCGACTAGACAGTTTCTTTTTGATTTTTAGATTTTCATTGATCTATGGGTTTCTAACATTTGTTGTTGAGAACCCCCCTCGGCAGGTCACAGCTTATAGAATGGTTTCATTAGCACACAGTTTGAAAGACGACTACGTTTAGTCACTGTGACGTCATCATTTCATTAGTTTCCCCCATGGATCCCATCTGTTATCATCAAGTCTACACGGATAGCGGCTGTACTATACGTAAGTAAAAAATGGATAAAAGCAAGCAATTATATTTACAGATTATCCATGCTTAAATCGATATCAGTTATTGTATGAGATAATATTACGATGTGCAGTATGTTGGTGAATCATTACGCATTAAACATTGCTCACAATTTAGGTTCGTGGTGGTAATTTCCGTCTTTGAATTTGAAGAAGCTATTTTTCCTGGGAGTGTTGCGGAATCTAATGTAAGCTGGTGCTAGCCCATATGTACTACATGCATGACATGTAACATAGCAGTGTAGGTCTATGCGTTATGAATATAACGCTAGGCTGAGCTTAGTCTAGGCCCCACTATGCACTACAATTCTAACAAAGCAAGGATAAGTTTCACATCCTTGGACCTCAGGAAAATAGGAAATGAATAAAGTCTTGTTCAGAATTGTTCATAGGCAAAGCATGAATCAAACTGAGTTGAATATCTCATCTACATCTGGGGGATTTCATGGGGCAAATGCCACCATATAAAAGTATTGCAAAAAATGAATCAGTAAAACAATATCTGCCAAACGCTTGTCTCTTGTGGCTATGAGCAGTGAGCCATGTGTCAGTTGAATGGGGCAACATGGTTGGCAATTATTTTCTTAAAACTTGTGTATCCTAAATTCACATATTGCATGTTTGGGAGCGAGTTACATAAAATAATGGTTGGATATCTTTGTACTTAAGCCATTACTTTTCAAGCAAAACTTTTTAGATGGTTTGTAAACACGACATCAGAAAGAAATTTTTTAAATGCAAAATTTTTTTTTCCAGAATGGAATCAGCTGGAAAGAAAAGCATGAGGTTTTATCCAGGATTGGATATTTTTCTGTTGAGGGAAGTAATTGCAGTCAATCCCAGTACCAAATTGTTGTAGGAAGCAATTAACAAAAAACTAAATGATGTTCCTAAGGAGTGAAATGTGTGTGTAGCTCCTGAGAGCATGTAGGGGAATGTGGGGCTACTGGTCCATCAGGGCAAGTGGCCCACTCCTAAGGATTTTGCAAGTTGTTTCTGCTCAGCTGCCCTCACTGGGCACAACAAAGGCATGTGGCCTTTGACCTTACATGTGCCTTCTACAACCACAGAGTTCAAGTGCCTACAGCTGGGTTTACTCAGAATAATCCTGATTTTTCTTCTGTTTGTTGTCCATCAAAACCTGCAAAACACGTCCTGCCTTTCTGCTTAGTAGTATTGCTTATGCAAGAGAAGTTTGAACCACAATTTGAAGTATTTAACGTGGTAAAACGGACTTAAAATGGGTGGTAATGTGAAGCATGGTTGCCACGTTACAAGTCAGTGGTTATTTCTTACGAGATCACAATGCATGGTAATGTTGGAGCATCAATAGCCGACTGGGTTTTTTTGTGCTGGGATTTTCAAAATGGCATCTTTCGAAGATAAAAACAACAACAAACTGCTTGAAAGGGGTAGATTTTAACCCTGAAATAAGTATTTATTTAATCAATTATATGTTTGAATAAAATAGCCAAAAGAAAGGGAAGGGGTAGGCCTAAATGAAACTGGGGAATTAAATCATTTTGTGTACAGTGGGAGCCTAGAATGGTTTGATAATGTGTTGTGTTCCTGCATCATCTTGGTTTACTGAAGGATAACAAAATGGCCGCCCGGCCAATTTTTGTTCTTATTTTGAAAACTCCTTAACATTTTGTTCAGAAATTTTATGGCTCATTTCTCTAGTTTATGTTTTTATTTTTCAGTTGTAATATTAAGAAATGTATTTTAATGGTAATAGTGCTACAATATTGGACATTATTCATTTATAATTCCGTATTGAAAATATTCGGGGCTACTGGACCACCAGTTTTTGGGGCTAGTGGTCCGCATGGGCCAGTTGCCCCGCTGGTGTACATGTATTAACCATTTCCGTATGTTTTTTTCCCAGAAAGAGTTTAGTTGTTGACTGTTCATAACAGCTACATGTATATGTATCACCATGTGACTATATTTAATACTGTCGGTATTTTTTTATCTCTTTAAATGTAGAATGGTGCGAACATACAGTGCATTGAAGCGCAGGCCTCAAAATAAATAGGAGGCAGACTCAATGAGGACAGCTGTTGCTGCAGTAGCAAGTGGTAGGACCAGTCTTCGAGATGCATCAAAACAATTCAATGTTCCAAGAACAACATTGACAAGAAGGTGCAGAAACCTGGTAGATCAAGATGCACCAGCACATAAGCGAACGGTACTCACCAAAGCTGAGGAAGACAGGCTCGCCCAATGGTGCTTGGAGAGGGAGTCTCGTCTATTTGGTGTTACCCCACAGCTGGTATGTGAAACCGCATATGCCATTGTTGAGAAATCTGGCAGGCCCCATCAATTCAACAAGATCGCCAAGAGGGCTGGCTACGACTGGTTGAAGCAATTCTATAAGCGGCATCCCCAGCTGACCACTAGAAAGCCAGAAGCCCTCTCTGCTGCCCGTGCCAGGGCCATGAATGAAGTGGTTGTGGAGCGCTACTTCAAGTTGCTAGCAACCACATTAACAGAGCTACAACTGAACGACAAACCTGCACAGATTTTCAACGCAGATGAAACCGGGCTTTCGTCTGTCCACAAACCACCAAAGATAATTGGCCAGAAAGGAAAGAAGCAGGTTCATTCTAAGACGAGTGCTGAGCGGGGTTTTAACACCAGTGTGCTGGCATGTGCAAATGCTGTGGGTAGTTTTGTTCCCCCTTTTGTCATTTTCAAAGGGTCACGATAATCCCCAGCCTTGACGCACAATGCGCCACCAGGGACACTATTTGGCTGCTCAGAAACATCCTACATGAACCCAAAACTCTTCTTCCAATGGATCAAGTTTTTTGCACAGCAGATCCCCCCTGCCCGCCCTGTTCTCCGCATTGTCGATGGCCATGCATCCCAAACTGGCCTTGATACTGTTGAGTTTGCGAAAGAAAATCAGATTGAGATGTTGTGCCTACCACCTCACACAACTAACTGGTTACAGCCTCTTGACCGAACAGTTCTTGGTCCATTGAAGATGGCCTATGACAGAGAATGTGCCAACTACATGAGCAAAAACCCAGGCAAAGTCGTGACAAGATATGAAATCTCAGAGCTCTTCTGCCGAGCTTACAGTCAAGGAGCCACTGTTGCGACTGCCGTTAGTGGTTTCTGGGCAACTGGAATCTCCCCGTATAATCCTGCAGCAGTGCCAAAGGAGGCATTTAAGCCATCCATGGCATGGGTGTTGGTCGAAACAGGTTAAGGAGAAGAAGCAGCACAGGCAGAAAGAGAGGAAATAGCAACAGAAGATACTGAGAGTGAGGCAGACACTAATCTGCAACAAGATGTCTCATTGCTGCCGAAAGAAACCCCAAACACCTCAGTACCTCAAGTGCCACAGGATCTCCCCAGCGCATCAGGAGCATCAACCAGTACTAGTAGTAGACCCAGCTCAGCACTAGCTAGTTCATCATTAGCAGTGACTAGCAGTCAGGCAAGCTTGGCACCACAGCAGCAACCAAAGACTGGAAACGAGTGGCTGACAGATTTACTACCACTGCCGACAGCTGCTGTCAACAGAACCAACAATAACAAGTGAAGACAAACAACAGCATCTCATGTAATGACAGCTGATGAAATCATACAGGAAATGAAAACCAAACAGGCACAAGAGGAATTGCGAGCCGAAGAGAAACAACAGAAGAAAAGGGAACGGGATAGAAAAGCAGCTGACAGAAAGAAAATGGCCGAAGAAAAGAAAAAAGCACGAGAGGAGAAGAAACAACAAAGACAGGAGAAGGGCAAAGGGAAACAAATTGCCAAGAAACCACGCCCTCCCACACCCTCATATGAAGGCTCAGACAGTGAAGAGGAGGATATGGATGAGGAAGACAACACGTTTTGTGCAAAGTGTAACGCACCGTGGATGGCGGATGAACCATGGGTTTCCTGTAGAGGATGCAAAGAGTGGTTCCATGAGGACTGTACAGGATGGCAAGGCGACATGAACTTGTTCATATGCACTGACTGTCGTGACCTGTATGATTTGGCGAGTGGATCTGATTAGATTTAGTGTACATGGGTCCATGCATACAGTCTCAAGCAAACACAGATTGCTTCTGAACAGTTAACGCCAGTTCTTGCTAAATGTTTGTGCAATAGTGAATATGAATTCAATTCGTTGAAATTATGAGGATAGAAAATGTAAGATATTTTAGAGAAGGAAATTTGAGCTCTGTCACGACATTTTGAACAACACATTTAACACTTTGGTGCTTCCAAGATATTGACAATTACCTGTTTGAAATGTTTATTATCCATTTACCAATTTTGACTGTCATATATGACTTTTTTAATGACAAATATTAAGGTTTAATGATGTGGCCCACTTGCCCCATGGGTGGGGCAAGTGGGCCACTTTTGGCTGGAATTTTGATTAATTAATATTCATGTTTTAAATGAATGTTATTGATTTCAGTTTGGCAATCAACAAGTAAGTGTTTGGGCCATGTAATAAAATAAGGTTTGGCTATTTCCTTGATCTTTTGATGATTGTTACAATTGAAAATGTGCTTAAGCGGTCCAGTAGCCCCACCCTAAAGATCGCCTTTGCCATGTGCGAGAGGCACATCACAGAAGGGATACGAATGCATAAAGGGCATAAGAATTACTCAATATACTTAGGCCGTCTCGATTTTCAGAGCAGCTTCACATAAATTGTTTATAAAGCCTTTTTTTATAAACCAAGGTGTTACTGCATGCTCCATGTACAGTAGTAGTACAACACATGCAAATTACCTGTTGGATGCATATACAGGTAAGGATGCATTTCTGGGTTTTTTTTGGGGGGGGCACTCTGGACTTTTATACGACTCTTATTGAATGAAGTCTTTTAATGTAATCTTCACTGTGCTATTTGTTCCATTTAACTTATTGACAGTCTTTATTTTGTCACTCGAGGACGTTTTGGTGTTTCCAAAAAGGGAAACCTCTGACTCCTCGGGGACGATGCAGTTAGGCTTAATAAGACAATATGTTTGTAAATGTTTCACAAATGTGTCATTTCCTGTAGTTCACAAACGGATGAAGAGTATGATGAAATGGCCCAGCTTTTGACAGAACTTGCCGATTTAGACGAGGAGCGGAAAAGAGATGACAACAAACCATCTGAGAAAGATGTAAAAGATCTGCAAGGAGAAGACATCTGAGCTGCAGCCATGGAGTCACTGGTTGGAACCAGTAAGAAAAATGATGCAGAGGTGAGCAGTAGTCAGTGTTGTAGAACTCGTACTCGGTACTTGTACTCGAGTACCGTTTTCAGAGAACTTGTACTCGTACTTGTACTCGGGCGTCCAAGTACTCTTACTCGAACTACAGTTCTTGTACTCGGGCTACAAAATACTCAGAACTCGACATCCAAAAATTGTACTTGAACATCAAAGTACTCGTACTCGATTAACAGTACTCGATAAAAATATCCTTTAAGTTAACTTACCACGGCAGTTAAAATAAGGTACAAAAATATTGACTCCAATGACCCGATATTCAATACGGTTCTGACAAAAAGAAGGCCGAATGTGGGACCATTAACGTATACGACCCATTCGCCATCTGTGGGTATACTTAACCAATCACGTACGCGAATTATATTATGGTACTCCAGAATGGTCCCGCGATTCACTTGGGCATTGGTAGTCTGGTTCCTGGGCCCGAAAATTCTAACAACGAACCCAGCATACAGAAAATCACAGGCATGTGAATTATTGAGTCTGGAAAATAGACTTTACCTTGTGTCAACTGCTGCAACGCACGTGTAGTGACCGTGACATTGCTAGCCAGATCACTTGTTCTTGTAGCCATGTCATCTGCATCGACTGTTGTACAGTTTGGGGTCAAAGAATATCAAAATTTGTGCAGAATGGAATCAAACGCTACAGCGCATCCTGTTTGTTTTGTGCAACTCGTATCACGGAAAAGTGCGGGACAACATCAAACTTCATCAAGCATTTGCGGAAGAAGCACCCCATGAAGTAAGTATCATGATCAGGGTCATGTTATTTAGCATCAATGAGCGTCAACAAAGCATCAACTAAGTATCCAAGCATTTTTATACAAATATTTTAGGCTATATTTACAATATTAGGAAGGCTCCTGCATGTCATATTCAACATATTATATTATCAAAAATGATATTTGAAGGTGGAAATTTGAGCGACAAATTTGGGCCTGCTCGTGCAGCCTGACCGGCCGCCATCTTGTTTTCGCGTGGACGGTGGCGGAAAGAAAGATGGTGGCCTCCAAAGTTTCGTTTTTCTGTGTGAATCTGGAAGCAAATTCAGTGCTTCTTTTAGAGTCTCTAAATTAAGATAAACTACTTTTGAATTCTTAGAGGGTATTTTGAAGTTGTTGACTCTTTGTTGACGCTAGTTGTATGTGTTGACGCTTGTTGACGCTAAATTGTATGACCGTTATTTTACGCCTGCCAAAATTTAGGAAGTAGTTAATGATGAAGATGGGGAAAGTAGAAACTATTATTCTGTTCTGAAAGATTTCACTTTTATTAACGTCTAATGGCCCCTCCACAACTTGGCAATGTTTGTCTGGAACAGCATGACTTGCATGACTTCAGTTAATGATACTCAAAGCAGTGTTTGTGCTCATTTTTTCGCAGGAGTTTCTGATATGGAATTTGTGCAAATATTTAGTCAATTCTTTGTGTGAGATTGATTTTTATCAAGGATTTTGTTCATGTGAATTTTTTTCTGGGGGGGGTATGAATTCAGTGAAATATCTCCCCAAATTTTCTCTTGAAATGTTACATCGGTCATCAGAGAGTGATAATATGTCCTAGAAAGTAAAATTAAAGAGAAGGAAATTTCAAAGAGTAAATTTATAATTACAGTTTTTTGTGAGTTTCAATGATTCTATGCACGGGAAATAGTTTCCATTTATAATAGATTGTATGTACATGTAATTTGTCATTTCAGATACAAGGAGTATCAAACCAAAGGATCACTCAAGCCTGGCCAAACAACACTGCGGTTTGGCCATTCAGAAGCAGCATCCACATTGGCTGAAGGGAAGATCTTTGACATCAGTGATCCTCGCCAGAAAGCCATCACTGATGCCCTGGTGAAAGACCTCATCATTGGTTGTTCACTACCAATAAGTGTCGTGGAGAAGGAGCGCTTCAGAAATTTCATCAGTGTGCTAAATCCACGTTACAGGCCCGTGGCCAGATCAACTATCACATCATACCGAGGACGTGTACCCAGTACAAGGAGGAAATAAAGAAGAAGCTGGCAAACATAGACAAAATCACAACAACGGTGGACATTTGGTCAGACCGTCGTATGCGGTCCTTCCTAGGGATAACGGCCCACATTGTAGATGGCAGCACAGGGACCCTGCACCTGGAATCGTTCACGCTGTGCTGCAGGCGTTTCCAGGACAGCCATGCTGGGGACAAAATCTCTGCTGCCTTCGAGGAGGTTCTTGAGAATTTCATGATAAAGAACCAAATTGAGAATATAACAGACAACGCTTTGAACATGAAGAAAGCTTTCAGGGTAAGCCTGTAATGTCAATATGACCCTTTCTTGTATATTTGACAATACGTTTGATGGAAGATATTTTTTCAATGCTTTTGCAGAAATGCAACTTACATTTACATAGCCCT